TCGGAATAGTCATATGCTGGGCGGTGGTCAGCCAGGCGGTCGCGTCAGTGTGGTGGAGAGGAGCGGGGATGCTGCAGCGGGGTCCAGTGGAGCTAATTATGAAGGTGGGAGAGAAGAAATCACTGCAGCTGGTAGTATTTTTGCCTCGACAAGCAAAAACAATAATTCAAGTGATCTGGGTGATAAAGGTAGGGTTGATGACGGTGGCAGTACCTTCGGAGGGAACCGGTGGCCGACGCAGGAGACTTTGGCGCTCTTGAAAATTCGGTCGGACATGGACGAAGACTTCCGCGATGCCAGTATCAAGGGACCATTGTGGGAAGAGGTCTCCAGGTGATTATTTTCTCTTCTAAATTTCTTTTTTTTTTTCTTGATGATATTCCAATAAAATTCAGTTCAGATTTGAGCTTTTAAGCTCAAAAGTGAAGATCTGAGTTTATTTTAAGTCGTTTTAATAAATTAAAGCAAGAAATATTTTCTTTTTTCATCTTCAATCTTTCCCAAGAAGAAAATCATCTCAAAGCATATTTTCCAGTGATATATGGGTTTTCTTCTTCAGGCATTTCCTAAATTTCTCCAATATTTCTTAGAGAATTTTAATTTGCCTAAAAAGAAGAAAAATCAATTAAGACAAGTTTCTTTTTATGGATATTGAGACAAGCTTTTGCAACTTGGGTTTCTGTACTTTTTCTACGAGGGAAAACACACCATGTGTTCATCCTTTAATATATTATACTTTGTCTGAATTTCTCTCCTGTCTCAATCTCGTCCCTTCTGTTTTTATTTCAATTTCTTTTTCATTTTTTCATAATTATGAAATAATTAATTTAATCAATTCCATTTTATGTGCCAAAACTGTTATCTTTTGTTTTGTTTCTGAATCAAAGTTGGGATTAAAACATACATAAAATGGGTTTTTTTTTTTTTTTTGCTACCTTTGTTGTCAGGAAATTAGCCGAACTTGGTTATCATCGAAGTGCCAAGAAATGCAGGGAGAAATTCGAGAATGTTTACAAGTACCACAAGAGAACCAAAGATGGTCGTGCTGGAAAACAAGAAGGAAAAACTTATCGCTTTTTTGATCAATTGGAGGCCTTTGAAAATCATCATTCAATCTCATCATCCCTAGCTGCTCCGCCGCAGGTTGTACCCACAACGGCAATGCAAGAGTCATCAAGGGATCCACCTAGACTAACATTACCTTCATTTTCACAAATCGATATGACGGTCACTTTGATCCCACCAGCAAACCCTACAATTCAACCTCAGCTACTACAGATGGGGAACCCTACAAATCCTCCCAAAACATTTTCCCAAAACATTTCAGTGGATCTGATGTCAAACTCGACTTCATCATCCACCTCGTCGGATGTAGAGTTGGGGGGGCGACAGAATAGGAAGAGGAAATGGAAGGATTTCTTTGAGAAGCTGATGAGGGAGGTGATAGAGAAGCAGGAGGAGATGCAGAAGAGGCTTCTAGAAGCAATGGAGA